CGTTGCGTCTCTCAAGGCCCAGGGAAGCATGCACTTGGATGAATCTCTAGATTCATGCCTTGCCTCAGTTGGGAATAAAGGCAGTCGGAACCGTCCGTCGACCACTTGCTCGCAGCCTACCACCTGCACCTGGTGGATGCTACTCCTCAGCCCAGAAAAAAAAACGCAATTATAGCTTTGAACGGGGACACGCGTGGACGGAGGGAGTACTTTTCATGGTTGTGGAGGAGCGGCAGTAGTGGATGCTAGCATGAAATCCCCGGCCAGGTCAGGTCGACATAGATTCTACACCGCATTAGCAGATACCATACCAGCACTGGCACGACCGCTGGACGTGCATACAGATGCAGATGCAGTGCCCGGCCAGGAGGAGGAGGAGACGCCAAAAGGTGAGCCCTTCCGTGGAGCTGGCCGGAGAGGCACTTGCGAGGACGTACGACAGAGCATGCAAGCATGCACACTGAGAGCACAGATCGAGCAGAGCACACCGGTCACCGTCCGAGTACGCACTAGCGGCTGCTACTCCATTTACACCAAGCATGCATCAAGGGCGAGGCGTGAGAGTTGGACCCTGTTTTGATGCATTTGCCATGGCAAAAGTTTAGCTGCTAAACTTTAGTCCTGAGTAAGGCGTTTGGATCCATGGCAAAAATTTAGTCCTCCATCCTACAATGACTGCTTAAGCCATGGGGGGAGAGAGAGAGGGAGCAGGTGGGGGCTATCTGTTGTCCAGTGCGCCCCCAAGACGTTTTAGTCCAGTTTTGCACCCCTTGAGATGCAAATGGGTAAAACTTTAGTCCACCCTATTTGCTCACTTTTAACCCACATGTTTGGATTTTCATGAAAAAAAGGCTAAAAGTGCAGGGCTAAAATTTTGCCATGGATCCCATGAGAACCGAAATGAAAGCTAGGTGTCCTGCTAGCTAGCTAGCTCGATCGATTAACACAGACAGCCTTGCTCGGCTACCATTGACTTGTCATGGCTGTGATGGGCTTCCTATGGCAATGCTTTCGCTCTTGGCCACAAAAGCCTCAGGCGGCAAATGGTAGCCAATTAACGTAACCTGCAGCTAGCGCGCACTCAACTCACTGTACTGCACCTTTGTGACATGGCTACGAGCGAGAATCTCCGGTGCATATGCCCTGACAAGACGGCAAGTGGCACCTAGTGTTCCACGGAAGGTCGGTCGTCACTCATCATTCATCATCAGGATCAGGAGGCCTTGTCATTCAGGAGATACTAGGAGATACTAGTAGATAGTAGCACGCACCCGGCCAGCTTTATGCATGTACCGGTCCAGCCCTGCACTGCACACCGTTCTTCGTTGCAATTGCATGCACTCCTCCAAGTATAGCTAGGTGGCAGGAGAAATATGAATGCGTGTATGTATTTCTACCGCACGTACCATGGCACGATCGAAAGCCAGCCAGCCAGCCAGCCAGCTACAGCCAGCGAGAGAGGCCAAGGCAAGCCGGTCCTGCCATGCTCGAAAGCAGGAGAGCGAGGCACGGGTTTTCGTTCCAAGGACCTGGGAGGTGCAGTGTGCCAGTACGTACTGCGTGCGAGTGGCGAGGCTACTACCTGGGCTTACACTACAGTGCAGGCGGTGGTACGCGTGGTCACTCTCTCATGGCAAAAGGGCAAATAAAAGGCCCGGATGGCATGGGATGGGATCAGAGGAGGAGAAGGGTATGGCCGGCGGTAGGAGATAGGACCGATAGATATCATGAGCGAGCACGGCGCGCACCCGTGTCCCAGCTGCCTGCATGCGCATGCACACGCGCATGTGCCGAGTCCTTGGGTTCCGCCCGGCTAGCTAGCCCGGCGGGACACTTTTTGCAATTTGCCGGGCAGCATGTGCTCTACTCCGTACTAGCTAGCTAGCTAGCATAGCTAGCTCGTCGGTCTCGCACTCTCGCGCGCCCGCGCCGGCCGGGTGCTCCATCTACACATCTCGATCGGTTGCATGCCGTCCACTCCTTTTGGGTCGCGTCGTCGGCTCCTAGCTCAGTCCTAGCTAGGGGCCTCGGCGCGAGCCTGTTGTTGCCTTGTTTAGTCCAACCCGGGCGGCGCGCACAAGCGGCCGGCCGCTAGCTGCTGTCGATCGTCCATCCCGACCGGGAAACGGATCTGCACTGCACTTTGCACACAACAACGGCTGCTGCAGTGGCTAGAGTGGCGCAGGACACGATTACGCGAATATGCGTGCGTCCACTGGCAAGTGCATGCTACTAGGAGTAACGTACACATGTCTGGTCTGGTCAGGCGAAACTATCAGGTCTCATCAAGTCATGATGATGATGATGATGATGGCCCCCCCGGCCTGAACGTAACATCACAGCTAGATTCGCCCGCCCAGTTAAACCACTGCAACTGGCTCGGCTGATGGCAACCGTCCATAAGACCATAACGTACTAGCTAGTCGTCCAGGCGGACGGAGGCTAGCTACAATGGATGCACTCCCTTTTCCGTTCGCTTCTCCTTGGATGCGAGCATGCATGGACGCACATGCTGCACCGAGTGCAAAGTCCCATGATAGCCGATCGACGACGACCCGTCGTCGGTGTGCTGTGCATGCACGGTTCGTGATTCTCAGTGAGATCCATCAGAGATCGACCGTACCAGGCAGACATTCGAGAGAGGAGATCGAGGAGAGATCCAGTGGCAGTGACCGACGCGACCGACTGACCGGTGCCGTCGTTCTAGCGTGACCGGCCGTGGTGTTGAGAGATCACAAACGTTGCTATCGACCAGCTAGCTAGCTTAGCTCATCTCATCATCGGGCTGTGACACCTCGACGGGGTCAAATCCAGCCGCTAGCCCTTGGTGCTTGCAGGGACGACGTGAATGTGATGCATCGATGCACCAGACGCGCATGTGCGCTTGTGGCTTGTGCCCTGTGCCATGACGCTTAAAAATTGATCTCCGCTTCGTCAGCCTGCTAACTTCAAGGTCACGGACGCCTCCATCCCCACTGCTCTGCTCATCCTCATTTCAGTTCAGAGATCTCATCTAGCTACAATTGTTTATTAAGCAATCATTAGACAGCCTTGACGTACGGCTGAACGCTAGCTACTGAACCTCGAATCGCTTGACGCGTGGTTACCAACTCATCCACATCGCCATCGGTGTACATAAATTAGAGCAGCCGGCCGGCCAGTGAAATCTTGCGTTGATGCACACACAGTAAATTGTCAGGAAACGACATTGCCTATGTGACTAAACACACATCAGCTTACGTGGTCGAATTGCTTCAAGTAAGAATCAAGACGTAAGTAACAGCAGAACGAACAAGGCCAAAAGATGAAAAGGTTTCGTGAGCAAGTCAAGGACAGATATTAGCGTCGCATGCTGTCTTTTCCCACAGTGAAAGGCAAGGCAAGTCCTGTGGAATATTCCGGCTGTCTTTCCACCGCCAGGAATAACCTCGTCGTCCTCTGCCAAGTGACCACTATGGGATCGTGCCTGCTCTGTAGTCTGTACCGAGCCCGGAGCGGTGGAGGCTCTTTCCCTTTGGCACTTTGGCAGGCACGATCCAACTGTCATATCACCGGGGGATACGCAACGCAAAGATTGCATTGCTGCTCCTGCTCGCTGCCCAGCAACCGAAACTTTTGGTTTTGTGCACGGCCACTAAAAGCAAGAACGGATTCCCGGTAGGTAGCCGATCTTGTCCTTTATTCAAGCATAGGTCTGTAGCCTGTAGGGCACGGTCCTGGAGTGTGAGACTGTCTCCAACGAGGAGATGCAAACCCAAAATACGTTACCCACATTTGCTTTGCCTACCGAAAACAGCCTCCAACGGCTGACCCAGACGGACGACCCATTTTACCTACCGACCGAAGCGATACGCAAAAAAGCATACCCTCTCTCCTCGGTACGCAAATCTCCGATGGTGGCCCGTCCGCGCACGCCTCCGCAACGCCGAGGTGGCCCGCTCCCGCACCGGCCGCACCGCCGGCCCCGCTCGTCCGCGCTCTCTCGCGTCGGCAGCCGCTTAACGGCGGCGGCAGCGCAGCGCCGCCGCGCCGCGCCAACCCTCGCTCGCCGCCACTTTTCGGCGCGCCGCGGCTTCGTCTGGCGTCGCGCTGCCGGGATCCACATGACTCGCGCGGCGGCGTCGTGACGAGGCCACCACGACGCTGGAGCTTCGCCGAGGAGGAGAAGATGACGGCGGGCGCCCAGGCGCGCCAAGGCCCAAGTCGTGCATGGCGCGGTGCAGGAGCGCGCCCGCGAGGGCCAGGTGGTGGAGGTGGCCGACCACCGGGAGCGCCCGCGGCGATGGAGGAGGGAGCGGCGCCGCGCCGCTGCGCCGGCGCCGCGCCGCCGAATGGTGGAGGCCGAGGAGTGGGATGGGGGCGAGCAGAGGAATCAAGAGGAGGTAGCTGTAGTGAAGTGGGAGCTCGGATATTTTCGCGGATGCAGGGATTTAGGGCTCCTCTGTTAGAGAGGTGAAGCTATGGGGATGTAACCTTTTTTTACTGTACATTATCCAAACCGTGGATCTCAGGTTTGGGTTACGTTGTTGGAGAGCTCCGTGCCGAAAGTAACGTGATGGAGCAAAGCCATCGTTGTACTAGTAGTACATTAGTTAGTAACATAATAACAGGTCACCAGTGACCACAACAACAACAAAGCGAGTGCCACGAAACCGTACACAAAACCAGGCAAGATTCATTCATTATCAGTAGAGGCCAAGTCAACTGAGCCCGACTTTTGAAGAACACGGGCACCTCAGTATTCACCCCCACGAGCATGCCTATGCCCTTTAGGATGGTTAGTCATCATCAAAACCAACAAACGCAAAAAATGACAGTACAATACCCATACCCCCTATACAAGCACTACACACGCAAGCAACAGAGCAGCAGAATGCATACACCCTTTGGCAACTCACAGCCCACCACCCAAGTCGGCAAGTATCGTATCACTCACCAAACCTACCACTAGTGTATTCACAAGCTTCTCAGCGAGATGACAGACGACACGGCTCCCGTCATCATGGTAAACAACAGCGACGGGAGCTGGAGGAACCATCCGGATGCATCCCTTTGGCCTTCCATTGCTGCTCGATGTCGTGGGCGATACTCCTGGCCTCGACCGAGGTCCCCGTCAGTCCACGCCGGGTGAATCCAACCGAGTACAGGCCGTTCTCGCCCTTCCACCCGTTCGGAAATGCTTTTCTTGGCAAGCCATCTTTTTCAGAAAATAACTCTCGGTCCTGACCAATTCAAAGCAAAACTCGATTTAGCTATCAAGGATGCATCATAAGAACAGTATCTCACCAATCTATTTCCACTACAAAAATTGGCAAAAAGGCATTATTATGACTATTTTCTTGTCTAACTTCAAGCTTATTGTTCTAAGTAATTACAATATTTTCATTACATGGTCAGATTTGGATTAAAGGTACCTTCAACCAGAAGGGAACGTTGCTCTTGTAGCCAGTCGCAAGCACAATGGCATCAAACTCCTCCAACCCACCATCCGCAAATTCTACCACTCTTCCTGATATCTGTCTTACGGCAGGTCGTACCTGCACGGTTCAATCAATGGGGGAAGATACATGTCAGGACTAAATCAAGACAGGTTGATCAGTTGATTCCACTCAACAATCAACCTCTCGTGCTTTGTGCCTCAAATGCGTGAAAACAGACCTTGATATCACCAGACTTAATCTTTGCAAATGTGCCGACATCAAGAACTGGGGTCTTTCCTGACAGTGACTTGAGCTCAAGAGGACCAAAGGCCGGCCGCTTTAGCCCAAGCTGAGCAGTATCCCCAAGCATGGCCCATGCTATGCACAGTAGAACACGGTCCACAACGTGGACTGGGAGCCACTTGAGCAGCCACATTGACAGACCAAAGGTGGAGTGACCAAGCATCTCCCTGGGCAAGATGTGTACCTGCCAATGATGAACACAATCTTAGCCAGGGCTCACAACAAAAGGAAACATCTGACTAATGATTGGATCAGACAATTAATCAGAATAAATATCTGTTCTCCAAATGCTGCTTTCTGCATGCTACAAGTAGCAACATGTTCAGGACCATACTTTCTTTTTTGAAACGCGGGCCTTGGACCAAACTTATTCCCTTATCTCCAACATAGTATATAATGCAAACACAGATTGCAACTATTTTAATTACACTAAGCTCTTTCAAAGCTGAAAGAGCTGTGAGAAAGGAATGCACCTAGTCGGGAAAGGTAGGTTCTCAAGCCATTTTGTTAATGTTTCTTTTAAAGTGACAAACTTATGCTATACTCCCTCCATACTAAAAAATGAAGTCGTTTTGGACAACGACACGGTCTCCAAAGCATAACTTTGACTACTTATTTTTATAAAGATATTTATCAAAAAGTGATATATGTAAATTTTTGTGAAAGTATTTTTCAAGACAAATCTATACATATGGTTTTCACATTTCCAAACTCAACAACTTAAAAGTTATTAAAGGGCGTACCCAGAGCAGAGAGCTCCCGCTCTGTGCGGGGTCTTGGGAAGGGTGTCAGTGGCAAGTCTTACCCTCGCCTGTGCAATGCGAGGAGACCGTGACTCGAACCCGGGACCTTCCGGTCACAGGCGGTAAGACTCTACCGCTTGCACCAGGCCCGCCCTTTAACAACTTAAAAGTTATTCATGATTTATATTCCCAATGTTTGACCCAAGCCTTGTCTAAAACGACTTCATTTTTTAGTATGGAGGGAGTACTCTCGTGGTGGTGATGGGGACCCATGTGCATGCAAACCATAGTTTTCTCACTAAAGTATAGACGAGAATACACTTTGTACTACCCTTGGGGCAAGAAAAATATTAGCAGGGAGCAATGAAAGAACCAAAACATACATGTGTGTGAAGCACGCACACTGATGGTTAGAGTAGCTGCAAGTACACGCGCATGGCGATGAATCCCAAGAAAGAACTAATGCGGCTACAAATAGCAGCCACAGAAGCCTTAAATCTCAAGAATATCTCGCTTTCCTAAGTGACAACTACCCTGAACTAGCATAACTTAATGCAAATAAAGCTGCTCATGAAAGGTCTTGCTTTTAATGCAACAAAATGATTTTTTTCAGGCTCTAACCCTTCCTCAAGCTCATGAGCTTGAGAAGAGTACAAGTTGCTGATAACTAGCACAGGCTAAACCAGCACTTGTAAACAACCAAAAATAGCAACCAGGAGGCACCTCTTGTTATTTACACCACTATCACTTTACAGAATTAAGAGTAGGAAACAGATATAAGTCACAGAACAGTATAACTAATTAAGAATGCTTAATAACATTGGAAAGAAAAGGAATTGAGAAGTAGAGAGAAGTCACGTACAGCATCTCTTACTACAATATGGGGCTCTGCATTGTGGTTGCAGAGGTCTAGGCACACCTCCATCCCGGAGTTTCCACACCCGACAACAAGAACACGCTTCCCAGTGAATGCACTGCCGCTTTTATATGCACTGGTGTGCATGATTGTTCCCGGGAACTCTTGCAGACCACGAATATCTGGCTGCACAGCCTCAGCACTCTCACCAGTTGCCACAATAAGCCACCGGGATAAATACTCCACCTCCTGTCCCGTTGTGCCAGAAGTCTGCGTCCTCACACGCCATAGCAGAAGCTGTTCATCATACTCTGCGCACACCACTGTGCGATTGTATGTGGGACTTATGCCAAAACTTGCAGCATAGCTCTCCAGGTAGGCTACAAACTGCTGCTTTGAAGGATATATCGGGTAGTTGGCAGGGAAAGGCATGAGAGGAAGCTCACAAAATTTCCGAGGAAGATGAAGGCTGAGACGATCATATGTCTTGAGCTGCCAGAGGGAAGCTATGCAGCTGGAGCGCTCAAGAATAAGGCTGCTGATCCCCTTCTCCTTGAGACATGCAGCAACAGCAAGCCCTGATGGTCCTGCACCCACGATAATTGGACCTGAAACCCAGATGCATGTACATCTCTCAGAGAGAGCGACAGCAGCATCTGCGCTCATTTCCTTGAAGTGGTGGTTTTGGCTGGAACATTTGAAGATAGGATCATGGGCTCTCTTGCCCTCACTTTCACTCCAAGGATCCATGAAGATTAAGGTAGGAAGTAGGCTTCAGTGGGTTTTTCTTGATCTTACTAGCGAGAAATGGATGTGTTGGCTTCAAGCTTCATGGTGTACAAATAACCAGCCAACTTTGCTGCTTATGAAGGCATGGGCAAGAGAGAAGGATAGGGGAGATATGTTGTGTGCATCTCCGGAAGACACTGTGAAGACTGATGCGAATGCTTTATAAGAATCCTGGTTCTTTTCAAGAGGTCGGTGCCTGGGCAATCTAGTGGGACTCTTTGTTGTTTGATGAGTTAGAAGACAGTAGGGAAATACGAGTAGAGAGGAGGAAGTTCTGAAGGTGTCTGTCTTCTAGAGTTCTATGCACAGCTTTTGAATGCATGGCCTAGCTAAGCTAGTTGTGTGCCCTATATACTCTATGTAGGAGTCTCAATTTGATTCAGATCAAGTACGCCCATAAAGGGTGTACCCAGTGCAGAGAGCTCCCGCTCTGTGCGGGGTCTGGGGAAGGGTGTCAGTGGCAAGCCTTACCCTCGCCTGTGCAATGCGAGAAGACCGCGACTCGAACCCGGGACCTTCCAGTCACACGCGGTAAGACTCTACCGCTTGCACCAGGCCCGCCCTTCTTAAAAAGGGGGCAGACCCAGTGCCGGAGGCTCCCACATGAGTGGGGTCTGGGGAAGGGAAAAACCGAGGCCAGCCTTCCCCCCGCAAAATATGCGGAGAGGCTGCTTCGAACCCGCGACCTGGTGACTCAGTGAGACAGCTCTCACCACTGCACCAGGCCTGCCCATCCCAAAATAATATAGAAAGGTGAGTCATGGAGGATCACTTAGTGACTCAGGCAGAGGTGTGGCAAGGTCTCACAAAAGAGAACATGCATAGGATATCAGACCCTAGTGACATAGTTTAATAACAGAACTGTACATGAGGTGTAATAGCCCTCAAAAAACAAGCATGAGAATATACTTTTTTTTCATGGCAAGATTTAAGTACATAGTTAATGCTTAAACTGTAAGAGCTAAGCCTGCTAAAGCAAAGATGCCTAAAAAGGATAGTAGAAGTTAATATATTAGCAAAAGCAACTGCAACCATTGTGTGCCATGATTTATTCTGCCATATCTAATGCCCCAGCAATGATCTCATGCAGTTAAAGATGAATGATTCTCAGAGAGTTATGTAAGCTACTATGTTATGAAATGTGTGTTCTACTCCTGAAGCTAACCTAGAAGTATCCACAGAACTGTTTGCCTGAAACAATATCCTAGAAGCATCCACGAACAATAAGAACTGGTCAGCATCTGGCACAATTGTAGCTACATCAGTGTCTGGTACCATGAAAATCACTAGCCGAAAACAATGTTTAGGACGATTCTTTGAATTGGGACACTGAATGGCAGGGCCTAGGTAAATCGGAAATTTCAGCATTCTTGAACTTTTTCAATGATTGTTCATGGACTATCTTGTTTCCATCACAGCATCAAGGAATTATTAGACCTAAGTTGCCAGCCGTCAGCAATTCATGTTGTAACACACTATCGTGGCACTGCACCTGACAAATGACCCCCTACAAACCGACTGACCAAGTGCTATACCTAATTTCATTTTTGCATTCAGAAGATCCCTACAAAATAGTGGTGTTCCCAACATCTCTCCTTGGTAGGGCCTAACAATTCAAAATGTCAACTCCAAACAAACAAGAATGACCAGAATTGCCATTGCACTAAGCCAAAATCCCATGTTCCACTCGAATGAACCAAAATTTGCCCATAACTGAAAGAATCTAATGCAATGATGGACGGTTGAATATTTCAATAAAGTTTCAAATTCAAGACAGGTGTCCTCACTATCTTACTACCTTAACCTACTGCTAATTTGCTTTCCACCTCACCTACTCCTACTTTTATGCAGCACAGCCAGCTATGTAGTCTCTACTCTAATGGAGATGTAAAGAACATGAAAACATAGGAGGAACTATGTACTTCTAATTTTAATGAGGGTAGTAAGCAGAAGCAAAATTTTCTCATGGGTGAACTATAAATGAGTGGTAATCCGATAAGTTCCAAGGACAAGAAAAGCATTTTTTTTAGCTGACCATATAGGTTGATCACAGCTAAAAAGTCAAGCAAAACAGGGCCAGGTGTGAAGCAGGACTGAAACTAATGATGCCATTCCGGTGTGGTATGCTCTGTTGAGCAACATAGCGATATATATACAATGGGTTCACCATGCACCTAACTTCTTGTATTCTCCACTGACTGATAACCAGACACCATTTTCTTTGTTGCTAGCATTAAGAAGATATACATACAATATGCACATAATACAACTCACAAAAACCCAGTTTCCTCCCCAGGAAACCAACGCCCACCTGCTGTGGGGCACAAAAAAAATGGGGAACCTAACAAGCTTCCTCAGTGGGTGCAACAAATTGTGGCCTTTTTGCCCTACACGAGAGCAGTACCCTGCTTGGCACCAATCAGACCCAAATCACTCCTGCTGCACACTCAGCACATGCTACAAGGATCCATCTTCCAATGATGGAGGATCCACTGAGACGTAGCTCATGCCTGCCATTCTGCTCCAGGATTCCCACTAGATTCCTCTGTACCCAGCCCACTACCGTACAATGCGATCTCTTGAGCCATCGTTTTTGGGGATTCTTGCAGTGAGAGCACTCTCAGAATGCTGTTTCCTTTATTTTGGTGAGTAAACAGCTCCAACTACCCTTTCGGTAGGAGTGAATGCTGTTTCACATGCCATGAATCATCTCAGACCCAGCATTGTTGCAGGTAGAGCACTATAGGACATGGCATGTAGAAGTATACCCTTCCAGCAACAAGTCAAGGTTGAAACAACAGAAGACTCGGTGCAAGTAGCAGTAAGGGATATCTTCAGCTTCTTCTCAAGTCTGGATGGGGGAGGGCGGGGAAAAGGTGTTAATACTTTTTTTTTTCTCGAACACGCAGGAGAACTGCGTATCTTTATATTAAGAAGAAAAAAAAGGGGGGCAAGAGCCGTTACAACACACACTCACACTCCTAAGCTCTTAGACAAACACACACGCCTTTTACTAATATAGGAAACGACTTCACCTCCACAAAAGGATCCTACTGGCTATCTACAGGCTCAAGAGAAGGGAAGGAGCTTCCCGGAGCCTTTGCAAGCTTCCAGAAACGCTGTTCCTCACTTGCGAGCAGCAATGCTCCAGCCAGGCTAGGAGGAGTCCCATCGAAAACACACCGGTTGCGATGGTTCCAAATTGTCCATGCACCAAGGATGATAAGCGAGTTGAGTCCTTTTTTGTGTGAACCATCCATTCTAGACTCTGCTTTGGCCCTAAAGAGTATACTGGGATATCTCGAGATACGTTAGTTTTGAATTTGTATCAATCCCGGGACAACTGCCTTATCTCTAGGAAATTCTTTTTGCTCTCCAAGATTTGTTGTACTCTATATAAAGCATCAATGAGGCTCAACAATATCAAACATGCTACATTATGCCAATCCCTTTAATTTATAACCTTGATTAATCAATAATATGCCATATCATGAAAAAAGATATTGATCTGAGGGTAAGTATTTGTCTAGGCATGAGTTGCTAGTGACATACACAAAGTATAATCATGACTTTAGCTTTGTGACAAGTTAAATTTCTCTAACTTTGACAAAGTTTTAGAAAAATATATTAACATCTACAATACCAAATAAATGCACTATTTAGATATCTTTCATGGTAGATTTAATGAAACTATTTAATGTTTGTAGATGTTGGTGCATTTTTCTATAAAAATTGATCAAAGTTTCACTCAGGACAAAGTTAAAGTGGGCTATAATTTGGAAAGGAGAGAGTATGACTTAATTGTATCCAGTACAATGGCACATGATATGAAATAAAATATTATGTAAAAAGGTAACATAATAGCATAGCGCCACCTCCATTTACAAATAGTTGTCAAAATAACTGTGGTAGAAATCATACCTCACTGCTTAGGACCTTGAATGATTTGAACATGTAATGGGCAGTAACAATTCCTCCCACTCAATACAAAGTTTCAAGCAGTATCCGAGAAAGGCATTTACTTGGCCATAGGCTGAAAATTGTTACATCATCAAAAAAGAGGCAGTCTGTGCAGAGTTATGAAGGAATGCTTCAATTGATAGCCGGGGCCTGGGACTGAAAAAAGGAAAACCGTACACACCTCAATAGAAGTGGATTCCTTGGGCTGCACTGCTGCAGTGGAAGAGAAAGGAACAGAAATCAACCAATGACAAAGGAGTATACCCATTTAAGGTTTACAAGCAAAATGACAGATGAAAAGTTTTATAGAATGGCAAATTGCAGCAGGCACAAAGAAATTTGTTTCGTAGATTGTCGAATTTAAGGTGTGTACTATACATAGGTTCTTTGCAGAAAAGGCAGTTTACACTGAAAAGGATAATACAGCATTATAGGTTGATGTCACTTCGTCCTTTTCAATTGTGCAGTGTAGAACATTGTACTCATTTGCACTAAATACATATTTAAAAAATTGATGTTCATTCAGTATAGGCACCTCCCGTATAAAATGCAGGGCTACTAAAGCATAATGTTCACTAATGAGAAAGTCAGAGGTCAGAACAGTAAAGTTCAGTACATACCTACAATTTTCTTCTAGAAAATAGACAGATGAAGCAGAATCCTATTGTAATTTGTGTTTATCAAGCAAGGAGTACACAACATATTTTGTGATCCATCATAATGGTTTGTAATTTGTGTTTATCAAGCAAGATGTACTCAACCATATTTTGTGATCCATCATAATGGTGTGAAAATAAACTACTAGAAAAGGTGTCAGTTTAGGGTATCTTGACTGTAAACAAAGAAAAGGGACCAGAGCCACTAACAACGCAGAACAAATTTCCTGTTCAGTGCTTTTGCCTGTTGTGTTTTGATAACTGATTATAGTAATGGCAAAGGTGCATGCTCATGTAGCTTGAAATATACAACTACACCTTTTAAGCCTGAGAATCTATCCTATG